CCAACTCAAAAAAAAAAAAAAAAACAGTGAAAGGGCTCTGGAAGGTCCCCAGAGGAAATAATCTAAACCTGTGGCTGCTGGGAAGTTTCCCAAAGAGGGTAAGGGACAGATCTTGTCCCAGCGTTAGGTCTGCCTTCCCCCTGGGGACTCGTATGTTTTGCTCTTGCCTTCCACAGTGGGAATAAGGAACCCAGAGCTGTCATGGGGTAGGACAGCCATCAAGGCACACAACCTACCTGAGGCAAGGCTCGGATGGACTTGACACCAGCCTGGTCTTGCTGTGCTGTCTGGACAGTGTTGCTACTGGGGCTGCCCCTGGCAAGCTGGAGGCAGGCCCAGACCACTAGTTTCCTCTGAAAGCCACGTACACCCACAGCTGCATTGGCCAGGACCAGGCCCAGGGGCCAGAGGTGGATTATTGCCCTCAGGAGCCTGGTCTGTGGTGGGGATGAGCTCAGGGAATGCGGAGCATGAGAGAAGTGTTTGTCTTCCACATCGTCCAGTTCTTCAGAAGCAAGGATGGCCATTCTGATCTTAAAAAGCAAACATCCCATTATAGCTTTAGATTCACCTAGCTCTCAACAGAAAATGGAGACTAAAACTATCTTTGATAAATCATCTGAACAAGGTGAACTGAAGGCACAGGTGGATGCCCTAAACTCAGCTGGTTCCCTGTGGTGTAAGTCTATACTCAAGGCAACTGTGCTTAGGCCATAAATGACATATGCTACTTTAAAAGAGTAATAGCCTTATTTAAATATAACTGATGTGCCATAAAACCCACCCTTTTAAAGTACATTCCATGGCTTGGCACATTCCCAGAGTTGCTTATGCCACTCTACCTTCACACACCTGCAGTGTAGGTGGTAGTGTACCCATTGCATACATGGGGAACCTAAGGCTCAGAGAGGCAGCACCACGTCTCTGAGGCCACCGGTACTGCACTGGCAGAGCCGGCATTCCCATTCGGGTTCAGCTGATTAGCAACATCTCTAACCACTGCCCATGCTAACTACTTACTCTCCACTTCTGCCATGCATGTTTGATGACCGTGGCAGCTGTGTGCATCCTCCGGATGTGTTTCCGAGTTAACCAGGAACGGATGGCTAAGAGGTTTGCCCAGAAGCAAGAAAGAGATGATAAAGTGGTCGTTAGAGCTCTCAGTAACCTGGCTCTGCGGCAACTCCAGAGCTGCTATAAATCTGTTTGTTTTCAGTGCATGGCTACTGTGTGCTACTTACTACATAAAGCAAGGCTCCAAAGTCAATACATAAAGCAAAATTGCCTTTTGAGAACACTCCTCACTCGGCCCACACACTTGGAGATACCTACACACTGATGGGTCAGCAGGAAGCTCATGCTGGCTGACAGCCCAGCAGAATGATTCCCGTCTCAGACTCTGCCCAGGGAGCACCCAGAGAATGGGAAGGGGGTGGATTGTTAGTGCCTTTTAAAATTCTCTATTTTGAAAAAAAAAATCCTCAGTTGAATTTGCTTGCTCACTTTATAAGTCCATAATATAATGTCATCATATACCCAAATACTGATAAAAGTTATTACCAGCTGGGTGCAGTGGCTCACACATGTAACCCTAGCACTTTGGGAGACCAAGACAGGAAGAATGCCTGAGCCCAGGAGTTTGAGACCAGGCTGGACATAGCCAAACCTTGTCTTTACAAAAAAATCAAAGAAATTAGCTGGGCTTGGTGGTATGAGCCTGTTGTCCCAGGTACTAGGGAGGTTGAGGCTGCAGTGAGTCATGGTTGTGCTACTGCACTCCAGCCTGGGTGACAGAGTGAGACCCCAACTCAAAAAAAAAAAAGGGGGGATTAGTGGATGGTAGTAAACTATCCCTTCTCTTGAAATTTCAGAATGTTTTGATTATTTCTGGTACAATCATATTCAGAAAAGGTGGGATATTTCATTAAATACTACTAGCTTATTTACATTCTAGAAAATTAAAACCTTAAAGACAGATAAAAATCACCTGTTATCTCACCAACCCAGATGGTTTTACAGTATTTCCTTATACGGTTCTCTATACACACAGAAACACACCTTACAAAGGTGGCATGACCCATGATATGCAGTTTGTCATCCAGGTATGAGCATCATATTAGAAGTAGCTTTCTAATTCATATTCTTCAAAACTGCTTAGCTGCATCTTAGGGATGGTCCATAATTTAACCATGACCCCACAACTGTTAGGTATTTGGGTTCTTTCTAATACTTTTATTTTTCAAACTGGGACTGCTAGGAACATGTTGGTTCATAGGTCTTTTCCTCTGATGAAGTCCTATTGGTTTCTACCCTCTCCTTAAACTCACCCCAAGCCCTGGAGCCCAGCCGGTAATGATCTCAATTGTCATAAAGGGGGAAAAATGTTGGCATAAACAGCTATCTAGGTATGAGAAAGGGGAATTAAAGGCCAACTTTTAGCCTCCACTATCTTCACAGAGCAGCCTTGTTTGTGGTGAGACTTGGTGTCCACTGAACTGGAGAGACACTGTGGGTGAGGTGGATGGGGAATCTGAATCCCAGCACATCACAGGAATGTGTTGTCTTTCTCTTTGGACTAGGGCACTTGGGATTCAGCTGGCAATGTTTCAAAGGAAATCTAATCCTGGGGCCATGTGCAATTGCTGACAGTGGCCCTGTCCTGCCTACCTGCCTGGATGAGTGTGGCAGCCTGCCTCTGCCTCTCCAGCTTCTGGTGCCGGTGTCGCCTCCAGCCACTCTGGATGCAGCAGGCGCACTGCTCCAGCACTTGGGCACGCCCAATTTCCAGAAGCTCCAACTGAGAGAAAGGGCATCACTGAGGTCAGACTCCTCCCCTGCTCCGAGGAGGGCCCGGCCAGACCCTGTCCTGTTGCAGAGAGCATGCGGCTGGCTTCTGCAGTCTCATCCCAAACCAGCTTACCACAGAGTCAGTCATGAACACCTTGGTCCTGCCACAGTGCACTGGGGCTGGTGTGGCCTTGGCTGAGTCACCAGGTATGGCTGCTGCCTGAATTATGGCTTGCAGAGTGTGGAGAATGTCTTGGAGGAGAGGTTGAAGTGTGGCCTCCTCGCCATGTGAAGGCGGTTCTGGAGGACAGGAGACAGGGCCCATCAAAGCTTGGTCACTATATACCTCTGTGGCCTAAGAAACAGGCTTTGGCCTTCCCGGTATTCTTCAGGCTTCTTTCCTGCTGCTCTTGGCTGTTTGTTCTCCCCTTCCTTTTTGGAGGGAGACCACAGATATCCCCTCTAACTGTCCCTCAGGGTCTCGGCTGCTCCAAGGAAACTTGGAACTTCTAGAATACTTTTGGCTGTACCCTGGGGTATCCTGCTGCCTCAATTGTCACGGGTCCCTTTGGGAAGGTTGGCAAAGGGTACTTGAAGCCTGGAAGAGTTTTGTCTTCCACCCTGGAATCCCATGCCTCAAACACCCTGAGGGCCAAACAAGGCAGCCAGGTACTCTCTCAGTCCCTGACCCCTCCCTCTCACTCCCCCCACCTTATGGGAAAAGGGAGCACAAATCCCAGTCCTGTGAAGTCCTCGTAGGTCCCATCGCCTGCCCTCCCACAGCTCTCAGGGTTGACACCTGTACAGAGAGGATTTACCTGAGGACTCTGACCACCTTTAGCTGCCCAGTGCCTCTCTGGAGATATAGGGTGCCAAAGGAGATGCCGCAGATGAGAAACACCAGCAAAATCAACCAGGGGCCAGAGGGGCTTGGGCAAGAGACAGAACAGAAGAGCAAACCATGGAGAGAGGGGGGAGAAAGGAGAAAGGCTGAAAGGACAGTGACAAAACTGTGCCCAGGTGGGGAGGGAAAAAAAGCAGAATGGGCTACAGGGTGAGGCTAGGTGGGTGGGGGTGACTGCGGCGGGGGTCCTGCCAAGTGGGGCCCACACCCTGTCCCTCTCTTCCTCTTGCTTTGTCCCGGCCAGACCATGACCATTGACTTCTTCACTCTACCTGCCAAGCACCTTTGCCAAGGCTGACCGATTTCTTCCAAACCTTTCCCGACTGGGTCCACATCTCTGCTTCTCTCTACAGGGACAACTTCGTAGCTCCCTCCCACGGCCCTCTAGAGAGCTCCCAGAAAGTATGAGATTGAAGGAGTCATTTGTTCCTTCCCCCACAGCTCCTCCCCCACCCCTTTCCAAGAGAATAATGCCCGTTTCTTGACTGGGTCCCACCTGTCAACCCCAGCCTCACCTTCCACCATTCTTTACCCTAATGAGTCAGCAATACTGAATGGCTTGAGTTCCTCACATTCATATAGTTACCTCAAGCCTCCAGGCTTCTATCCAAATTACCTCTCATGTGGGAAGTCCTTGATCTGGCTAATCCAATTTATTCTGATACCACCTCCTCCAGGAAGCCTTCCTTGATTCATACCTCCCCAGCACCACCCACAGCATCCTGTTCATAGTTCTGCCTCTCCACTTTCCAGTTTGTCCCCCCCCCCCCACTGAACCAAAACCATAAGGGCAGGTCTATGTTTTATTCATTTCTGAATCCCCAGCACTGAGATAGCATAGAGCAGTTGCTCAGTAGACTGTAGTCAAACAAATGGGCCCCACTCACCAGAGCACCCTTTGGCAGGATATGTGCTGTGGGGGCCAGAGAATGTGCGAGGATAGAGCCGTCTCAGTAACTTGTAGCGTTCCACAAAGTTCTGATGGGAGACTCTGGAAGCCAAAGTAGGCAGAAGAGAATGCCTTCATCTGTGAGCCAGGCATATCACCCAGGGTTCAACAGACATTCTTCTACTGAATCTGCACAGCCCCTGAATGGATGAAGGCATAATTCTAAAGACTATACTTAGTGGGAAGCCCAGGGAGACTGTTTTAAATCAGGTCTCTTCCTGCTGTCCTGGTCTACCAGCACAAAGTGTTTTGCTCTTAACAGGTGATCTGCAGCCTACCTCCTTGCAAAGAGGCTGTTGGGCCTTGTCCCAGACAGCTGGACCCTACTGTCATGGAGACACACTTGGCCACATCACCATCTGACCTCTCTGACTCCACACCCTCCTCTACTTCCTCCTGATTTCTCTGCTTCCCATCAAGGCAACACTTCTCTAAACAGCTGACAACACCTGATATCTCCACTTCTTCCTCCCAATCTTCGTCAGCCCTCCCACATCTGGCTTCTGTTCCCAACACTATACCAATGTGGCTCTTATCACAGCCATTAGCAAACACATGCCACCAAATCTAGTGGAAGATGCTCAGTCTACTTCCTACCTGGCCTTGGGGCTGCAGTGACCTCTCTCCTTTGCCTCCAGGATACCCATGATCCTGGCTTCCTGCTTTACCCATGACTCAGTTGTTACTGCTAGTTTCTCCTCACCCACTCTCTCTGAATGTGAGCATGCCTCAGGCACCTTCTCTCTCCCTAGGTAATTTCCTCCTTGCTCACTGCACTGAAACTTACTGAGGACAGATCTGCACTGCACCTCCAGTTTTTAAAGCCCTGTTGAGCCCAAAGCCCAGCTCATAGCCATTTCAAACCTGACAAGGGCTTAGAGAATTCCAAGTCCTCTCCTCCCTTACCCTCCACCCTGGGCCTTCCCCAGACCAACTCCTTTCAGTAAACGGTCTCCCAGTTTGTGCATTTGCCTTTAGAAGAAACCTGCAAGCCAGGCCTGGTGGCTCAGCCTGTAATCCCATGCCTTGGGAGGCTGAGGTGAGTGGATTGCCTGAGCCCAAGGGTTCAAGACCCGCCTGGGCAACTTGGTGAGACCTCATCTCTACAATAAATCAAAAAATTCACTGGGTGTGGTAGCGCGCACCTATAGTTCCAGTTACTCGGAAGGCTAAGGCAGAAGAATCGCCGGAGCCCAGCAGGTCGAGGCTGTGGTAGTCGGAAGCGGCCACTGCACTCCAGCCTGGGCGACAGAGTGAGACTCCAACTCAAAAAAAAAAGGAAGAAACCTGCAGCCAGATGTGGTGGCTTACACTTGTAATCTCAAAACTTTGGGAGGCAGAGGTGAAAAGACGACCTGAGTCCAGGAGTTCGAGACCAACCTGGAAAACTTGGCGAGACCTCATCCCTACAATAAATCAAAAAATTAGCTGGGCGTGGAGGTCACACACCTGTAGGTTCAGCTACTTGGAAGGTGAGGCCAAAGGATAGCCTGAACCTAGCAGGTCAAGGTTGTAGTGGCTGTGACTGTGCCACTGCACTCCAGTCTGGGTGACTGAGTCAAAAAGAAAAGAAAAGTAACCTGTAAATTGCTTCTGCAACCTGGAAGTTGACTGTTCCCCTGGCCAAACTCACAGTCAATCAAGTCCACACTCCTGCTCCTTCTATTGCAAGCCATCTCCACCCTCTTCCCTCCATTTTTCACACTGTCACTCCCATCTGGCCACCAGTCTTGCTGCACGCTTGCAACAGCCTCCTCATCCATCTCTTCTCCTCTATGGTGACCCACACAGCAGCAGCCATAGGAATCATCTTAGAGTATAAATGAGGTTGCACACCCCATCCATATAATCCAGCACTCCCACCGCACTCAGGGCAAATGCAAAGTCCTCATTTGGCCGATAAGGCCCCGAAGGCCTGGCTCCTATCTACCTCTCTCCCCTACTCCCCGTGCTCTGCGGTCCAGTCCCCTAAGCATCTTTCATTCTATAACCTGGCAGCTTTCTGGCTGCTGTCTGGAATACTCTCCCTTCCTCCAAATCTTCCCAGGCTAGACCCTCCCTTCTCACAGGCCTGAGATGCTTACAGGGGCCTCTCCCTTACCAGCTCAAGAACCTCCTTCCTCTCTTAGTCTACCTAATGGCACCTTCTGTTTCTTCAGTTACACTTTATACTTATGTTTGTTTCCACAGGAGTGTATACCTCAAGAGGATAGACTCGCCTTTCTTATTCACTGATATGTTTACTAGAAACAGTGCTGGATACAGAAAACAGGGCACAAGAGTGAATGGATAAATGAATGGGTGCTGCTCCCTGAGTTCCAAATTACCTTCTACACACCCGCCTCTTTTTCTTCATCCCCACATCCCACTCCAGGGTGGGCAGGCTCTTGCCTAGTGTGAGTCCTGAGCTCCACCCTGGCACTAGCCTGCCCCCTGCAGAGATAAGGCCCACTCACCGGATGGGGAAGCCAGCAGCACTAATATGGATAGTCTCCACGAGGCCACAGGCCTCCAGCTGACTCAGGACCTGAAAGAGTGGGGAGGCAGGGTAGGCCTCTGCAGCATGTGGCCAGTGGGCTAGAAATGCCATTCCTTCTGCCCTTCCTGGCCCTGGCCAGTGTGGAGCTGCAGGCTTTGCTGAGGTTCAGCTATGGGGTATCTCTTTGGGGTAGTGAGAAATCAAGGGATCCTCAGAAAATCTCCCGGTTAGCAAGGGTCTTGGTGGTCACGAGCCCCCATCATCTGATGCATGGCTTCTAATATAGCGGAGATGAGTGATGCTCCTAGCTCTGTCCCATCCCTTCCCTCAGTGCAGACTCACTACTGCACAATACAGCACAACACATTTCATCAGAGGGCAGCTCACAGTTGCGGGTGAGGGGAGGTTATATTGTAAAGATTCTTTTGGGACCTGAACCCAGGTCTTTACAGCCAAATGGTCCTGGCTACAAGCCACACCTACCAGGTGACTGCAGGATACTTTTCAGCATAGCCCAGCACTCACACTTCATTCACATCCCTCACAGCCTGGAGTCCCAAGAAAAGGGCAGCTGCTGGCCACAAATGGCTTTTGTGAAAATTAGTAAAATAAAATAACTTCAGTGAGAAATGGCTGCATGTACGTGGACTCAAGGCAACAGATCCTCAGCTGATCACAAAAGACATCCACTCCTCTGGGCAGTCTCAGTCTCTCACCAGGGCCCATGATTTGGCGAATAGAGAGCTAGATGCCGTGGAGCTCCTGATGGCCTCCTTGGCTAGACTACTGTGCACTGACCACATAGCCATACATGCCTGTCAAGCCAGAGCAGGCAATGTGGCCCTCCTAACGTCAGGCCCAGCTGGAGAGACCCCCTCTGTTCACTCCATTTAGACCAATGTCCTATCCTTCATCCCTCCAAGGCCTTGACCAGACAGGGATTGGTCTAAGACAGTTTTGGCCCAGTGTTAATTACCTCCTCCTGATGAAAGGTCTGTGCCTGGCCCTGGCTGTTGGGCTTGATACAGCGAATGTAGTGCGGTGTGGTGCTGTGCAGGACCTGCAGAAGCTGCTCCAGGGAGGCCTGCAGATGAGAGATCATGGGGTTGGCAAGGATTGGAGAGTCCTGGTTAGCGATAGCATCATACACCTCCAGTGGCCCTTCCAAGATCCTGAGACTAGGATCCCCACAGGCCCTGGGGATGACTACTGGAGGCTCTCACGGTGCGTGTCCAAGATACACTCCTCTCCTTGACATCCCACTGCTCAACTCTTCCTCCAGGGACCCTTCTAAACCTATGACCTTCCCCTGATTGGTTTCATCCTCCTCCTCCACCTGCTTCTTCTCCAGAGCAACTTTCCTAGAAGAGAACAATCTCAGCACCCCCTGCCATTCATTCATTTGGGGAGGGCATCATTCAACCAACAACTGTTATTATTAAGCCCATCCTGTGTGGAGGCCATCCAGAGTTGTGATACAGGTCATCTGCAGCTGTGCTGGAGCCCAGACTAATGGGTCCCACACACAAGCACCCACACCACATAATATTGTGTCAGAGGCTAATTAAATCTGGTTTCCCAGGTGCTTCCTCAAGGAGGTGATAAAGCTGAAGTCTGATGGATGAGAAGGACTATACTAAGTAAAGTGGGTGGCAGTGAGGTGAAGCTGAAGGGGAGCATCCCAGGAAGGGGGAGTGGTACGTGCAAAGCTGTGATAGAAGAAAGCAGACAAAACTGAGAGAAGAAACTGAGGATAAGGTTTGAGAAGAAAGCTGGAGAGTTGGGAGTAGGCCAGGTCACAGAGGCTCATGTAATCCCATGGCCACTTCCATTAGCAGAAGGTGAGAGGCCCTACCATGCCCTCTCAGGGACCTAAGCTTCTCATCATTTATAAATACCTGATATCCTATTTGTCAGATTCTGTTGCTACCTCTGGTATAAACTCTGTGGGAACTGGGACCACATCTACATGACTGACCACTGTACCCCAGCAAACAGCACCAATCCTGGGAGGTGCTCAATAAACATCTGTGAGACCTCACGTCAGCAACACCAGACCCACCTTGAACTTGGACACCACGGTCAATACAGGGGCCCTGCTCTGGCCACAGGGCCCCTCCTGGGTCTTCTCTTTGGGGTTAGTAGGAAACAGCACCATGAGCAGGGGATCCTGGGACTGCTGTAGGAGCCTACTCAGCTCAGGAGGGACAGGGTCCTATTCGGAAGGGGCAAGGGTAGCAGGTGAGGGCAGGTGGAGCTTCTGGCCAGGGCCATCCAGGGGCTGGGCACCCTGCCCACCAAGCTGCAGGAGAGAGGGCATCCAGAGAGGGTAGAGCCCAAGTCCAACAGAAGAGCTGGTTCACCAGATGACCAGAGACCCAGAGGCCCAGTCTAACACAGGTCATTTCCAGGCAGGTCATGCTCAATTAGTGGAGACCTCAGATAGGTGGGCCCAAGATATCCTGGATTCTGGGAGGATATTCATGAAAGAAAGGACACATGATGGGAAACTACTATGTGTGTGGCCACGACTCAGCATCTCATTTCACCCTGGCCCCTCAGGCCATGGCCCCCTCACCTTGTTCTTCTCCACCAGGCCTGCTGTATGGTAACGCACAGGCCCTGCGTAATGTACCACGATGAAGCTGGGCTCCCGACTGAGCTTATTGTGGCCCAAGCAGGGACTGTCTGCCAGGGCACTTTCAATGCGCATTTGGAGTTGGGCTGCACTGCTTGGCCGATTGAGGCGGCATTCCTATGGGATGGGAGTGGGCAGCCAGTTATAAAAACGAGAGGGCTCACCACAACCCTCACCATCCCCACCCTCTGGCCATGGTGGTAGCAGAGTTATTACACAGATATCACAGTGGCCGCAAGCCAGAGGAAATATAGCTATCAGCAAATCCATTAGGCAGACCGGGAGAGAGAGGGAACAGGATAGTCATCAGGCTCCCAAAACCCATCCATTAGCCGACCCCCCCACCTCATTTATGAGGGAGCAGATGCTGATGGGGCTCCCCTCGATGAGATCCAAACAGGTCTGGTTGTCCTGGTAGTTGACAAATGACCACTCCAGACCCTCAACTGTGTATTCCTCCTAGAGGGCAAGCAGGGGTGGGGTGGGAGGAGGCAGCTGTGGTGGGAGGTCCAGACAAGACATGCACGGCTGGCTGTGGTACCGCAACAAAACATTACACTTGCCACATATATGCAATTATTGTTTGTCAATTAAAAATAAAACAAGAACAAACAAAAGGCTTATAGTCAGAACGTGAGCTGGGGCTGCAGGGTTAGGAAGAGATCGAGGATCTATGAGAAGGACCCCTCACCTTCCCCCATCCTTCACCTGCTGGGCCCGTAGGTAGTGAGCCACAAAGTGCTGTTGCAGCTTTTCATTGGCGTAGTTGATGCACAACTGTTCCAGACTGTTGTCAGGAAATGACTCAAATCCATACACATCCAGCAAGCCTGGGAGGATGGTAGAGGACCCATGAGACCCCTGCAAGGAGCAGATGGGAGGTAGGAGGTCCACAGAAAAACAGGGTGGCAGGGCCACTGCTGACATCTTATACTTGGCAGCCTGGGGATGAGGTTGAGTAAGCATAACACCCTGCAGTGGGAAGAACATGCCTGCTCGGCCCCCACCCAGGGTAGGTCCCATCTCTACCCCATGCCACCTTAGAGCTCAGAGGCCAGAAAACCCAGTTGAGGTGCGAGAGGCAGCCCAGGGCATCAGGCCATTTTGAGTCTGAATTCTCTGGTCCTAACAGGCCCCTCTTGTGAGGAAACCAAGTCACCAGGAACATTTTCTGTGTCAAATCTGGTTTGGAGGGCCTTGGTCTCACCAGCCTAGTTGATGTCTAGAATTCCACCTTCCGTGAATAAACTACACTGATGCCTTTCAGCTTTACCTCCTCCTTTACCTGACTGTGCCATCGAGGGTTACAAGGATCCCAAGTCCCTTCTAATCTAGCTCTTTCCCCTATATCCTACTATTCGCCTGTGATTGAAGCTGAGTCTCTGGGGAGAAAATGAGGCTCTTATGACAAGGCACCATCTGAGTCTGTCTGCAGCAAAACTATGGACAAGTCAGATGTGGGCACTGGATCTCATTCAAACACCAGTGGGCAAATGGAAGAGCAGACAGGGCTGCAAAGAAGGGAAAGGGGCTGCCCAGAGTCACACAGTGGACCCAGGGCGCCTGCCTTTCCATCCGGGGTTCTAGTGCTTTTTTTCTGAAATGCTCCCAGAAGGGTGAGCCCTGCTACCTATGAAAGTGGTCCATGAGTCAGGTTCTGCACAGATGCTGCTGTTGATCACCGAAACCAGCCAGTCAAACACCCTATTGGGAAGAAGAGAGTGAACTCTGATGAATGGGTCAGACTGAGCCTGAGGGGTGGTAAAAGTGCTCCCCCAGCAAGGGTGCTACACCCCCAAGGGCCTTGTATTCTGACTCTGACAGGTCAAAGGCTAAAGCCTGTTCTCCCGTTTCCTGCCCACCTGTCTTAGCCTACTACACATGCAGGCTATGAACATGCATGCTCCCAGGTAGATACAAACCTGGCCTGTCCCCCTGGCAAGACTGAGCGCACAACTAACTCCTGGGCTAGGCAGGGGATGGGTCTGAATCAGTTACAAGACCCAGCTGATGCCTTGAATTAGAAGGGGTTGATGGATAGGCCTGGGTATGACTAGTGAAGAAGTGAGTTAACTGATCTCCCCTGCAAAGCTCCATCTGTGGAGCTCAGAGTTCAAGGTCTTGCCACATCTCCCTCACACAGGCCTGCAGAAATGGGCCCTGAGTCACCTGAGGCCAACAGTAGCATCCTCCATTCTGGAACCACCCCCACCCCAGAGAAGATGAGGTTACTGCACAAGGTGGTAACATACACAACACCATTCAAAGGTCTCTTCCTTAAAATTTTTCTTAAAGTAATTACACTGCAACTTTTCAATTCAGTAAATAAAATGGTTCTCTTTTTGCAATAGGGGCTTCAAACATCCATATTCAGTACTAAAAATGAATGATCTGGTGTTATAATGACTTGATGGTTTCCATGTGTAAATTGTGCTGTGGTTGAAAACTCACTCTATCTGTGTTCATCACACTTCTCTGCTCATTTTGTAGGAACTTACAGGCAAAGGGCTTAAAAACCTTTCACTTGAGCCGGGCTCAGTGGCTCAGCCTGTAATCCCGCGCCTTTGGGAGGCTGAGGTGAGTGGATTGCCCGAGCCCGCGGGTTCGAGACCCGCCTGGGCAGAGAGACCTCATCTCTACAATAAATCAAAAAATCAGCCGGGCGTGGTAGCGCATGCCTGTAATTCCGGCTACTCGGAAGGCTGAGGCGGAAGGACTGCTGGAGCCCAGCAGGCGAGGCTGCGGTGGCCGGGAGTGGCCACTGCACTCCAGTCCGGGTGACAGAGTGAGACTCCAACTCAAAAAAAAAACAAAAAACAAAAAAAACCTTTCACTTGCCAGGTGCGGTGGCTCCCACCTATAATCCCAGTACTTTGGAAGGTGAAGGCGAGATGACTGCCTGAGCCAGGGGTTCAAGACCAGCCTGCGCAACTTGGCAAGACCTCATCTCTACAATAAATTTAAAAATTAGCTGGGCACGGCGGCGCACACCTATAATTCCAGCTACTTGGAAGGCTGAGGCGGAAGGATTGCCTGAGTTCAGCAGGTCGAGGCAGTGGTGGCTGTGCACTCCAGAGAGAGAGTAAGAATCTGACTCCAAAATAAATAAATAAATAAAATAAAAACTTTTCACCCGGGCAGGTGCAGTAACTCACACCTATAATCCCAGCACTCTGGGAGGCTGAGGCAAAAGAATTGCTTGAGCCCAGGAATTTGAGACCAGCTTAAGCAACATAGCAAGCCTTTGTCTCTACAAAAAAAAAACCTCAAAAAAATTTGCCAGCCACCTGTAGTCCCAGCTACTCAGGAGGCTGAGCCTTGAAAGAAGATTTGCTTGAACCCAGGAGGTAGAGGCTGTGGTAATCCATGATCGTGCCACTGCACTCCAGCCTGGGTGACACAGTGAGACCCCAGCTGAAAAGTAAAAAAGAAAAAGAGAAAGAAAAAAACCATTTGACCTGAAATTAGCTGTGAGGCAGTGGTAACTAGTCTCAAACTTCACTCTGGACCCAGTTGCCCTGGGTCATTTGTCAACTCAGAGAGGACCTTGTTCCCTCAGCAGTGCTTCTTAGGCTCTTGGTTCTTTGCAGAGTTCATGAAAGCAGGGGACTCTCTCCCCAGAAAGTGGCCCAAGGACTCACATACACATGAAACACATAAGCATGTGCTGTACAATTTCAGAGGATTCTAGGCCCCTAGAAGGCCTGAAAAGACTCCAGCAAGAGTCTCAGAATTCAAGGTGAGAAACTATAATAACCACATGGCCAGATGGTAGAGGCATCCACGTAACCCACACCGGGATAAGGCCAGGACCTCACCTTCCGCACTGTGTTACATCCTACTTGCTGGATACCATGCTGCCCATGACTGTGGGCTGAGCCTCTAGCTCTGTAACTATTGACCACATTTCCCAGGGGACTATGTGAGGCCTAAGTACAAGGGCACAGGGAGACAGAGGAGCCTATTCATGCCAGGGCCTCAACCTGGAACTGTGAAGGCCTCAGATCACCTTTGGGACCTGCCTTACCAGCAGAGCTGAGCAAGATTTTCTCACCTGTTGCCAAGGTCAAAGCAGGCTCAAGTTTCAAGCTGAAACTTGGCCAGGAATGTGGCAACTTCCCTATTTAGTACTCTGGAATAGAGGCCAAGGGTGTTGCTTGAAGTAAACCTGGGAGGCGAGCCCTATTGTCCCCAGGATCTGAGGAGCAGAGAGAAAAATCCATCTACTTCATCTGGTATCCCTCACCCTGAGCCTGTGCCTATTACCTGATGGTATCTGGTCCAACCTCAGACAAGGGGAGAACCTGTTGGGAGGGAAGGGACCAGAGCAACTGCTCACCATGCATAGACCAGTTTGGCCAGACAGTCTCTGCGGGTGTCACATTCAGCTCGGGAGCAGGGCTTCCGGAACACCTGCTGTTGCCTGCCCGCCCTGATGGTTCTAATGTGCAATGTCTCCAGCAGCATGTCTTCTGGGAGCTGCAGCAGTAAAGCTGCTGTCCTGACAGCGCCTGGGAAAGGTGAGTGCTCCTTAGACAAGTCACACTCCGTCCAAACAGTCCTCTTAATGAGGCACTGTGAAGTCATCACAGTGGAGTCATGACTCACCCAACTTGACAGAGAAAACCTAGGTTCTGAGGGGCGAAGAGACTCATCAAAGGACTCCATAAGCAGCAGAGTTAGGACTTGAACCCAGGACCTCTCTGTCCTGGTCTACACTGCCGCATGTGGGACAAATCACTTTATAAACCCTCTGACTGTTGTTTTCTCATGTGCAAGATGGGTACAGACTGTCTGCCTACCAGAAACAGGTGAGGAGTAATGAACCAGGCAAGGGTCCCATGGTGGATGCTTCCAGGAGGATCAGATTCAAGTTTTCAGCCCCTGGGTTCCAACCTAATCCACCAACGTTGGCTACATTCCTGACAGGGACTGCCACAGTCCCCCCTCCCAGCTTGCCCCTCACACTTGGCATTGTCCAACAGTTGGCAGGGCTGGGCTTCATCCTCAGAGTCCGAAAACTGGATATTTCCAAGGTGCAGCAGTCCAGCCAGGACCTGAGAAGGCAGAAATGCAAGGTCAGGAGAAGAAATGACACGAGGTAGGCCTTCTCTGGAAAGGGCTTGTCTCTTGCTGAATACAGTCATAACAGAAGGATAGCTCCCAATCACTGCCTAATTGTGCCTATCTCTGCCAGGTACATTTCTGTCCAAGGTACATGCATCACTTCATCTTCTCAACAACCTTTATGCATCATAAGCCTGACAACACACACTTTTTGGGATTAGAGCCCAGTCTGACTTCAGATGCCTCCCAGGGCAGGAGTGGGGCTCTGGTGCCCACCTACTATCCATCCCTCTGCCTCCAAGTATCTAGGAATATGACTGGATATGAGACATCATGCTTCTGTTTGTTATGGGCCAGGGATACTGCAGTGTGTCTGCTGGGGGCTTGGTTCTGGCCCCTTTTGGCCCTTTCTCCCTGTTGGACTTCTGAAAGTCCAGTCTGGGAAGGAACTACGATATTTATCTCTGTACTGCAGGTGGCCTTTTGCCTTTGTATTCAAACATCCACATACACAAGTCCCTGGGAACTATAGAAAGGGGACCTTCCCAGGCCTAACAACTTGTAAGCCCTTGCACCCAATACCAGGAGAACAAAACCCCACCTGCCATTCCTGTCTGGTCTCAGACACGGCACCTCCACATGCTACGGGCCTTCTGCCACAGTGTACCCAGAAGACTGCTATGCTTAATGAGCAGTGTGGCTGTAGCACAGGGTCGTGCCACCCTCAAAAATAACACTCCTGTCCAGAGTCCTAGGGTTACCCACTCACTGGGCTTGTCCTTATGTGCTTTTGTTCAAGCTCTGACTTGGCAGTGCCCTACTATATGTGATGCCCTCCCTGCCTGAACAGCCCCATCTAGAGGTGAGGGTCACTTTCCACTGCACTGCTATCTCTCTGCAGTGGTTTCCCCGTCCCTAGTGCCAGTCTACGCTGTCTATCCCCTCCTTGGGCTCTGGTGGTCACTGAGGAAGTAAGGGGGGTGAGGGGAGGCGCTTAGGGGGGTGAGAGGAGCCCAGTTAACCTGGATCAGTACAGGCCCCAGAAGACAGAGGGAGGAGGAAGAGAACAGCAGAAATTTGGAATTACTAATACATGGTACAGATTCCCTTTATATCACTTAGTGGTGTCTAATCTTGGGCAGGTCACTTTACTGCTCTGGTTTTCTCAGGCACAAAAGGGAAATAATGACCAAAAGAGGACTCACAGGAAAAACCAAGTTGAGTGAGAGATGAGAACATGATTTTTAAGTTTTAATGTATTTAGACAAGCATGCGGTAGCACTAGTTATTTCTGCAGTAATAGCAGACCCCACTCCTGGCTCTCTGCCTCCGTGGATCATTATCCTCTTATATCATGTACATGTTTTCTCTCACTGCTCTCTATGCACTGCCCTCTGCAACACCTTGTCTCCGGGCTCAGGACCGCAGAGGGGTGGTCAATTCTTTATGGACTGCAGAGAAGCCCAAAGTGCTAGATGCTCAGGGAAAGACTGAGTCACAAGTCTGGGGAAAAGCTCTAAGAAAGGGGCTGCCACCACCTCTGCCAAAGGTAAGAGGCATGGCTTTTCTTCTGACCTTAAAGATGTTGTTCTGGGTGGGGGTGTCGATGCCCAAATGAAGCATGGCCTCTCTGGTCACCTCAAAACAATCCTCTGAAAAATAATCCAAGGCACAGCCCAATATCAGAGCTACAGGTCAGCAGGTACAGCAAGGGGAGAGGGAGGCAGGCCCTGTACAGAGTAGTTGGGTACTGGTGGGCCAGCCCAGGATGCTCTCCTTACCTTCCAAGGTCTTCTCTGGGTTGGGCAGCCAGGAGAAGGCAGCTCCCTCAGGGAGGTGCCACCGGAGCCTCTCGTCCTCACTGGCTCCTTTGTAGATCTGTAGGAAGGTGTAGATGGGTAAACGGGCTGAGGGTGTGCGGGAAACCCAGACCGGCATTGGCCTGGGTTTGGGATGAGAGGAGTAAGATATAATAGCAACATCATAAGGATGAAAGGTCCCAATGGAGAGCCCAGGACATGCATAGGGCACAAGAATCCACAAACAGTTCTAGGTATCAAGAGAACCCTGCTCTGAGGAAACCTGTAGTCTGATGAAGAAAGCACAGTTCCTGTCTTGGAGCTCCCCAGTGCTAATGTGAGAGGCATACCCCTTACCTAAGGATGATCCTAGTCTAAGAACAAGGGAGACGTGCTATCCATGCCCTGGGGGATACCTTGTCTGATGGAAGAAGCACAAATCTAGAGAAGCCCTCATTCTATTGAAGCCATTCTATGACAGCCCTTGTTCAGAAAAAGACAGGCCTAGCCTCAAGAACCTTCTGGTAGATGGAGGAAGCAAAACACATCCCCAGATCCAAACTGAAGGGAGCCAAGGCCAGTGAGACAGAAGGGCGGCATATAAAGTTTGCAGGTATAAGTGGTGGCACTGCTGAAAGCCATGTGAAGGGGTCAGGCACGGAGCATTCTAGCGAGTTGGGAGACACCGACCCATCCCTGCCCTGTATCTGAGGGGCTATGGGCCCCACCTGGAACAAACCTGGTAGAAGATATGGAAGTTCCTCTCACCGGAGGCCTGGTAGGCCACTCGCGTTTTCTCTAGGAGATAGGTCTGGACTGCCGCTCCGGTCATCTGCTGGGCCCTGGGCATATGCAGGCCGGAGCCTATTAGTTGCCCATTCATTCCAGAGCCACGTGTGTGATATGTACTGTGTGCCAGACTACACCTAGCAACTCCCCACCAAGCTTGTGCATTAAGTCAATGAATATCATGAGGGTTGGGGACTACACAGAATGTTCTTGGGTGTCCTGAGACATTCCCCTGCATCTAGCTCAGGTGGGCAGGACCCAGGCCTCTGTATATCATTTTGCCCCACCCAAGACAGGAGCAGAAGCCCCAGTTCCAAGCTCAGGGGTAAGGCCCAAAGAGGCGGCAATTTACCTAGAAGGTCCTGAGCAAGACTGGAAGCCAGGAGGAAGACACAGTCCTCAGCAAGTACATTGTCCCAGGGTTCACTAAGGATGGAGTAGCTATAGTTCTCCAGGTCCTAAGAGCACCCTCAGGTTTCACTGACCCTAATGAATCCCATGTATGTACACACCAGGAGAAGCATTTTGTCTACAAAGTGCTTCTACAAAGGTGGCCCAGGCTGAATACTGCCCCAGGCTGAATACTGTCCCCAGGTACTTTCAGGCCCTCACTCCCGTCCTCCCACTAGCCAGGGGACACCAGCTATTACCTGTTCAGCTGGAGCTGGATGAACTTCCCGAAGCGACTGCTGTTGTTATTCCTCAGCGTACAAGCATTCCCTACAGATCACACCTTGTTTACATCACTCCCCTAGGTGCACCGAGTTCTCATGGGCCCAAGTGGCTGCAGGACTGCTGAGGGCCATGTTCCTATCCTCAAGTCACCAAAAGGTCCCTTTGCTGGCTTTCATGTCATATTGGACAGGGCTAGGGAATGGGCACTTGGGCTTTATTAAGTGGCATTCTGAAGTTAGAACTTTCTGGCATGAAACTCGAGTAAGCAAGCCCAAGCAGCCAGGGACTGTCTTCTTTGAAGGGAAGAGTCTAAAAAAACGAGGTGTCACTACTGGCTTTAGACAGTAAGGGACATCTAGGCTACAGTCCAAACACAGATGCTAACTGCATCCTCAGACAAGTGCCCTTCTTTGAACTATCGGGAAAGTGGATACAAAGATAGGAGGATGTGAACTAACTGAGCCATAAGGTCCTCTCCAGCATTACTGTTACATGCGCTCATGCTGGAAGAGGAAGAAGACTGAATACCATCCCTTCTGTTAGAAAGATGCTGAAGGGTACCTGGGAGTAGGTTGGGGATCTGAGACAGTGAAGGATACACTCGCCCTCCAACCCCTAAAGAGAGGATCTCAAAGCCCTGCGCCTCTTCTGGAAGGTAGCAAATCCCAGAGGAAATGGGACTGAGATACTGTAGAGAGAACATCGAGCTCACCAAAAGCTTCCATGACAGGGTTGGAGTTCAGGATTCGCTGTTCAATCCTCTCTGCAATCTTGTGACTCTCCCAATATGTGGGTGAGGCAGCCACCACAGCATAGAACTTCATCAGGCAACGGGATGTCCATGTCTGTGGCAGAAACAGCCCTGTGGAAGCTGTATGCATGTTCCCTCCCACTTCCGAGCCTGCCTGAGGGAACAGTGCCCATAGAGCTCTCTTCTCCATCACACCTGTTGCTGACCAAACAGGTGAATGCTGCACACAACTCTGGCTTTGGGCAAGGCACTTTCCTTACCCGTCTGTGCACCTCTGTTCTCCCAGCTCCAAGGATAAGAAACAAGGGGGATTGGGGTAGAGAAGGGACAATCCCCCTGGCCTGGGCAGGCTGTGAACCTTCTGTGAGTGTCGGTGAAGCCTCAGAGCTAATAATGATTCCTCTGTGGCAGGCACTGAATTGTAGAGGCTTTCTGTGCAATTTGCTCGCAAAGCCTATATATAGGCTACTGTTATACAATTGTTTTTACTTTTTTTTTTTAAACTTACTTCTCCATCACAGGATATAATTGTTTTCAAAATGATGAAACTAAAGCACAGAAAGATTTAAAAATGTATTGAAGATCACATATCAAGTCAATGACAGGGAACCAATTTATACCTAGTCTAATTACACAATTCTTACTCTAGTCTTTTGTTCCTCATCAGGTGAAGTGATGTGTACTTTCATTTTTATTTCCAATTGTTTATCACTAGGACATAGAAATACAATGATTTATTTATTTTTTTGAGTTGGGGTCTTACTCTATCACCTAGGCTAGAATGAGGGAACATGGTTCACTGCAGCTTCAACCTCCTGGGCTCGGGTCATTCTTCCATCTCAGCCTCCCGAATAGCTAGAACTACAAGCACCACCACGCCTGGCTAACTTTTCTGATTTTTCTTGTTGTTGTTGTTTGTAGAAATGAGGTCTCACTATACTGTATTACACAGGCTGGTATCAAACTCCTGAGCTCAAGAGATCCTCTTGTCTCGGCCTCTCAAAGTGCTGGAATTAGAGGTGTGAGTCACCATGCCCAGCTATAATGAACTTTTATATATTGATCTTACACCCTAACATCTCACTAAATTCTCTACAACTTTTCAGTTGTAGAATTTTTTTTTTTATCCTTAAGTTTTTCTATGAGTTCAGAAATGTTCCCTCTCTTCCAAAAGAATTTGTATAGAATTGTTAACATTTTTTCTTTAAACATTTAGTAGAATTCACAAGCTAGAGCTTTCTTTGTGGAAAGGCTTTTAACTATAACTTCAATTTCTTTTACAAATAGGGACTTACCAGGTTATATTTCCTCTTCAGCAGTTTGTGTCTTTCCAAAATTTCTTCATTAAAATTGTATAATTTATTGGCACAGTTATTCAAAATATTGTCTTATCAATCTGTAAGAGCTGTAATGATGTCTACCCTTTTATTCCTAATATTGGTAATTTGTGTCTTTTTCTCTTTTGTGTAAGCTTGACTAGAGGGGTATCATTTTACTCATCTTTTCAAAGATAAGCCTTTATCTCACTTATTTTCTTTTTTTAAATTTTTTTTTTCTTTTTTTTTTTTTGAGTTGGAGTCTCACTCTGTCGCCCAGACTGGAATGCAGTGACTGCTCCTGGCCACCCCAGCCTCGACCTGCTGGGCTCCAGTGATCCTTCCGCCTCAGCCTTCCGAGTAGCTGGAATTACAGGCATGCGTTACCACGCCCAGCTGATTTTTTTTTTTTTAATTTTTACCTAATTGACTTATGTATTATTGAGTCAGAGCCTCAATTTGTTGCCCAGGCTGGAGTGCAGTGGCACGCTCACTGCTACTAAAGACTCGACCTGCTGGGCTCAGACAGTCCGGCCACTTCAGCTTTCCAAGTAGTTGGGATTACAGGTGTACATCACCATGCCCAGCTAATTTTTTGATTGTAGAGACAAAGTTGCCCAGGTTGATCTCCAACCCCTGGGATCAGGCAATCCTCTTGCCTCCACCTCGCAAAGTGCTGGGATTACAGGCGTGAGCCACTGTACCCAGCTGATTTCATTTATTTTCTTTATTATTTTTCTGTCTTCTAATTTATTCCCTTTGACTTTATTTTCTTCTGCTGCTTACTCTGGGTTTAGTTTATTCTGTTTCTCTCCAGTTTTTTAAGGTGTGTTATGGACTAAATTGTGTTCCCCACAAATTCAAATGTTGAATCCCTAAATCCCAATGTGACTGTATCTGGAGATAGGGTCTTTAAGAGGCAATTAAAGCAAGGTGATAAAGGTAGGGCCCTTATCCTATAGGACTATAGTCTTATAAGAGAAAGAGATCTTTATCCCCCTCTCTCCTTCTCTCTGCCATGTGAGAACACAGCAAGAAGGTGGCAGTTACAAGCCAGGAGGAGACCTCATCAGAACCCAATCATGTTGGCATCCCAACCCTGGACCTGCAATCTCTAGAACTGCAAGAAAATAAATTTCTGCTGTTTCCACAACTCAGTCATGATCATCATAGTATTTTGTTATAGCAGCCTGAGTTGATTAACACAAGGTGAAAGATCAGATCACTGATTTGAATCCTTTCTTTTTGTTCTAAAATATGTAATAAAATTCCATAAGCATGGGTCACCATGCCCAGCTAAGTTTTTAAAATTTTTTTGGTAGCGATGGAGTCTAATTATGTTGTCTAGGCTTGTCTTAACCTCCTGACCTCAAGCGATCCTCCTGCCTTAGCCTCCCAAAGCACTGGGATTTACAGGTATGAGTCACCGTGTTCAACAAAGTGCTGGCTTTACCGGTGTGAGCCACCGCACCTGACCTCACTTTCACTTTGAATGATATTTTTGCTGGTAACACAGTTCCAGGTTGATAGACATTTTCTTTCAGCACTTAAAAGATGTCACTCTATTATCTTGACAGACATTTTCTTTCAGCAGTCAAAATACGTCACTCTACTATCTTTGGGCTTGCAGTTTATGACACGATGCCTGTAGTTGTTCTTATCTTTGTTCCTTTGTATGTAATGTTTATTTCCCTGGCTTCTTTTAAGATTTTTTTCTTGTACGTGGTTTTCAGCACTTTGACTACAGTGTGCCTAAATGTATTCATCCTACTTGGTGTTCTCTAAGTTTCTCAGAGCTGTGCTTGCCATCTTTGATTAATTTTGTAAAATATTACTTCTGACCCATGTTTTCTCTCTTCTCCTGGGACACCAATTACAAATACAGTTGACCCTTGAACAACACAAGTTTGAGCTCTGCAGGTATAAATACATATGGATCTTTTCCAGGAAATCTCTCCTGTCTCTCCTTCTACCTCCTCCACCTCTGCCACCTGAGACAGTAAGACCAACCCTCCTGTTCCTCCCCCACCTCCACCTACTCAAAGTGAAGATGATGAGAATGAAGATCTTTATGGTGATCCACTTCCATTTAATAAATAGTAAACACATTATCTTCCTCATTATTTTCTTAGTAACATTTTCTTTTCCATAGCTTACATTATCGTAAGAACACAGTATATAACACATAACATAAAAATACGTGTTATTGGTAAGGTTTCTGGTCAACAGTAGGCTATTTAGTAGTTAAAACTTTGGAAAAGTCAAAAGTTATATGCAAATTTTTGACTGTGGAGGGCAATCATTTGGCAGACCATTTGAAACTGCACTGAAGCTCTTGGGTGCACTTTTTTGTTTTTCAATTTGGATAATTTCCACTGACCAATTGTCAACTTCACTAATGCAGTTCTCCATGTCTAGTTCGATGATAAGGCTGAAGGAATTGCTCATCATGTTTTAAATTTTTACCATCTCCACTTATCTTTTAGGTTTCATCTGTAATCCCGGCACTGAGTCCGAGGCAGGAGGATCGCTTGAGGCCAGGAGTTTGACACCAGCCTGGGCAACACAGTGAGACTTTGTCTCCACAAGAAGTTTTTACATGAGCTGGGCATGGTGGCTCATGCCCGTAGTCCCAGCTGCTTGGTAGGCTGAAGTGGGAGGGTCGCATGAGCCTAGTAGTTTGAGGCTGCAGTAAATTAAGAAAGTGCCACTGTACTCCAGTCTGGGCAATAGAGTGAAACTCAGACTCTAATTTTTTTTAAAAAACTATATATAAGGAGGTCTTCCAGTCGACAATCCTATCCGTAAACAGAATTCTAATCAGTTGTTTAATGCCTTATTTAAAAATACAAACACTCAAAGGTCATTAACTATTTGGCAAACCCTTTACATGAATGGCAAGTATAACATAAGGAAGGGAGCTAGAACTCTTAGAATGAAAAAAATTTTTTTTTTTGATTTGGAGTCCTACTCTGTTGCCAGGCTGGAGTGCAGTGATACACTCACGGCCACTGCAGCCTCGACCCACTGGGCTCAGGCAATCCTTCTGCCTCAGCCTTCCAAGTAGCTGGGATTACAGATGTGAGCCATCACACCCAGGTAGAATTAACATTTTTAACAAATATTCAAAATTCAAAAGAATTGGAAGGCAGAAAGAGATTATACTCCTGAAGGAAAAAAAATTAAGAGATGGGAAAATACGTGAGAAATAAGAATATTAGACAATTATCCAAATTTCTCACTAACAGGAGTTCCAGAACAAGAAGACGGGGGAAGAAATCATTAGATGTAACATGAAAATACTTCCTGGAACAAGAAGATATGAGTTTCCAAATTAAGAAGACCCACACAAAGCAGGTAGCATAGAAAGTGAAAAAAGACCATATCAAGACACAGCACGGTGAATTTTAAAACTTAAAAGGTTTTGGAAAAAAAATCAGATCCTGTTCAAGAAGCTACTAAAGAATCACCATAACTGGGCTCGGTGGCTCAGCCTGTAATCCCGTACCTTGGGAGGCTGAGATGAGTGGATTGCCTGAGCCTGCGGGTTCGAGATCCGCCTGGGCA